TTGCCTTGGAGGAATTTCAGTTTTCTATACATCCACTTTGCCAAGTTATAGGGAGGGCAAGATTGGCCGAAGTGGGACATTCGGTTTGTGGATTTTCGGCAGTCCATAGAATCAAGCCAGAGTGGTATCCGTTACTTTCATTTTGCGCCACTCATTCACCGTGATCACATTCTTCGCCGGTATTCTCTAAGTAGTTTAGTCAGTCGGTCGGATACTGCTTTAGTTTGCGAGTTCAGTGCTGGTCGGTAAAACTGTGTCGTCAAGAAGAGTCTTAGCTTTTTCTTTGTAGTCTTGTCGATTCACCACGACTGTCGACCGTCCCTTATCAGCAGGCAAGATGATAATACTGTCATCTTTCCTCATTTATTTCATGACTTTTGACTTACTTTGCGAAATGTATCTGGTTGGTTTATGAGTCATCAGCAACGAGGTCACACGTTGTCGTACTGAATGTTTCGTGTCGTCAGTTGCTTCCGTTCTCACCAACATCGTTTCTAGTGCAGCAGTGAAGTTAACTGGGTCGGCATCTGCGGTGTTAAAACAGGCTTAGTGCCGTAACACGTGTAATTGTTGCTCTGTTAGCTGTTTCGACAAGAGGTTGTAGACTACGTCAGAACTTGTAGTGTCTGCGAGTTTCAACTTATTCAGTTTCCTCTCCAAAATCTCCCCTTTCTTGGCCTGCCGATGGTGTGTCAAAGCCGAGATCTTTTTTCCAAGATTCTCGGCGATAAAATCTCCGAAGAATTGGAAACATTCTCTTCTATCCTCCCCAATCCTAGCCTTGTATTTCCGAAGGCTTAGGCGGCAGTCATCAATCAGAACTGTGTTCCCGGGTACCTTATATCTGAGACATCATGGCGTCAGTTATTGTTGGAGACATTTATAAAGAAAACGTAACTGCTCATATGTTGCTGCTTCTCGGGTGGAGAATATCTCCCAGCTGCGAGCTGTGCGAAGTGCGTCGCGCCCGAATTGTTCACGAATGAAGGAGAATGTTCGCTTTCCAGGTATTTGCATCGGTAAAGAAGAAGAATAGTCGAACACCGAATTGATTTGTGTATTGTTCTGAGCTTTCGAAATCTTGCAGGAGTTCATCTTCGGAGAAAAAAAACAGCAGCAAAAGAGTGGCTGATTATAACATGTGTACAAAACAGTTAAAATTTGAACGTGTAGAAATCGATAACTCTCTGGCGTTCGACTATTCTCCTTCTTTACCGATGCAAATATCTGATGAGCTAACATACTCCTTCATTCAAGAGCTTTTTCTTTTCTGGATACTGTGGATTGCCCTATGAAAGCCCGAAAGCAACAGTGGTACGGAAGTGGGGACGTTGGGCACCAATTTTTCAAGTCAAAAACGCACTCTGGTGGCGTGCGAGAAGTAGAAGGCAGCGATAATGATGCCGTGGTTGCTTGTCTCACGTCAATCTACCGCATATCTCTCTTACTGTAATAAATCTAATCAGCTTTCTAATTACCGCGTTGGCTTAGAAAACCGCTTGCTGACGGGATAACGCTATCCTCCAAAGTGCGGGTCGGTCTCTTCTGGCTGCCTTTTTATATGGCGTGAATGGTAGATCCGAGGCCCAGTTCGTGATTATATAAGTAACCCAGCACATGGGACGTCATCACAGGCGTAGGCATGGTCACGTTGACCCCTTTGTCCACACATATCGACAGTTGTCTTAAAGCTG